CATAGGGAGATCTTTTATTATTCAGACAGATCATAGAGCTCTTCAATGGCTACACAAGTTTAAAGAGAAGAATGCAAGATTGACTAGATGGAGTTTGATTCTGCAACCATATAATTTCACTATACAACATCGGAAAGGGTTAGCAAATGCAAATGCAGATGCACTTTCTAGATTGGAGAGGAAGAGCACTTCGTGCCAGAGGGGAAGGGAGGAAATGTAAGAAGTTGTTTCTAAATGGATCCGGAACTCTCTGTGTACTATTGTAATTATATATTATGTGTTTATTCAAGTATATTCTAGAACAATCATGTAAAGTATTCTTGTATGTTATAGAACCTTCTGGACATTTATAAGATCTATATAAGTGTGTTGTGTGTTAGTTGTGAGTTTAGTTAGTTTTTGTTAGTTGGTTTTTGAGCTCAGTTGAGTTTCGTGTTGATTAAGAATAAAGTTTGGTGAACAGATAGCTAGGAGCGTCTGTTACAAAATAGTACATGATTTGTATTTTTAGCAAGTACTAACTACTAACCATGGGTCCAAAAAAATGAGACATAATGTAGTTACACCGAGAATTCAAGAAGTGGCTTTGTTTTTCCAATTTGTCAACTCGAACCATAAGAGAGTGAACTATTTCTATAAAATGACATACTACATGTATACAAATAAGCAGACATTGCATATTATACATATTAAAAGCTAATATGCAGACAAATATATTGAAGTATACATTAGGGTATACTCTTTCAAAATGCATGTAAGTGTATAATAGAAATTAATGGCAGGCATCAAAAATTTCAATAATTATTACTATTCGGGATAATCACCTAGATCATTTGAGCCAATAGGTTGAGGTAGAGGTGGTGGTGATTCAAGGCCACTACTACTACTTGAAGACACTGATAAATTTGAGACAGTGCGTGGTTTGGATGTAGCGATAGCATCAGCTGATTTTGAGACACATGTAACAGGTCTAGGATCTGATAAAGCTGCAGAGGATACAGCAGTTTTAGTTTCAGAAGGTAGCCCAAATGAAGCAGTAGAGGAATCACTTTGTGAATTAGAGGATACAGCGACAACTGTAACAGAAGATTTTTGCTCTATATGTGTAACCTATGTAATGCAAATTGCTATCAAATTAATAACAAACCTTTTAACTCTTTCTTCTTTATCTTGTTAACACTATCTTTTGGTTTTGCACTTCTACTCTTCTTAGATTGCTTTCCTTGTTCTAAATAAGAACAATAAATCAGTATAGTCCATAATTACTTTTTTGATATAATTCAGTATACTTTACTAAATTTAAAGCAACTATTGTTAAACTTTGAACTTAAAAGAAACCTCAACTACAATACCTTCATGAATCCTCAATAATAAAAATTATCATTTTCTCCTAGCTATATCATGTACATTAATTTTGCCTCACGTTTATCAATAGATTTCCTTTTCATTGCTAAGCAAGTATGTGTAGCTGTCTTCATCACTACAGTATTGTTTTCGAGATCACTACTATTCACATTGTTCATTAGTGCCTGGTCATTTTTATTGTTACTAATACCACTCCTTTCAGTACCATCATCATCATCGGCTTCTACAATAAATTCTGGATTGTAGATCTTATTTACAAACTGCTCCTCAACATTTCTCACTTCTTCTATTGAGCCTACATAATCAGTATATACCGTATGGAAGGAAATTTTGGAGGTAGTTAAATTTGGCAAATTTGGCATTTTGATAGCCATTCGCCAAAATAAAAATTCGCCATTTTGAGCCATTATGCGCATGCTCAATGGCACATGGATACAAATTCACCAATCACCAAAATTTTAGCAATTCGCCAATATTTAGTCCCTCCAAAATTTCTTTCTGTACGGTATACATGTGACATAAATGGATAGCATTAAAACTGAAACAATTTTGCAATCCTCACTATGCATCAGCTCATTGTTAACTAACTGTATGTGACCACCGTAGCTTGGAAAATCTTCGTCCTAACCTTCACATGACATAGGCTGCCAACTTCCAACCCAGAACAGTCTTCAACGATATCCCGAGCATCACTAATGGAGACTGTTTTATCGTCTTTAAAGTAGACCAAATACACCGTAGCTAATGGAAACAGCAGAGTTGTAACTGCTCGGGCAGCCTAAAATAAACCACTTACGTTTTATAACATCTGTTATCTTCTTTCTTGGCTGCCTAACGCTCATCTTGAAATCCTGACCAGGCTGTAAGTAGTACCGTCGTGCAGAAGAGCAGTCAATGGTAGAGTAGAGTACAGTACTAGCACAAGGCGCTTTGACTCACGTGGTACGCTTGAAGCCAGCTGTACTGTACTGTGTACATGTAGACCGCACCTACTCTACGTGTACTCTAAACTCGAGGTAGGAGGAGCGGCATTAATACGAATCAAGACCGTACTTCGCCGGTAATATCCAGAGCCTCTACTGCGCAGCTACTTAGCCTTTTTTTTGCACTATACTGTATGTGTGTATGAGATAAAAATTTAAATAATATACAGAAGATATAGTATATACATGTAGTATGTACAATGTATGTAGTTTAGTAAACCCTCTCATCTGAGAGAGCTTGCTCATGAGAATGGAAGGAGTGACAGGGATGATGGTAAGAGGAGCGTGCACCTCTGAGACACATAATGGAGCTCCTAAGAAGAGAGAATGAAACACGGCAACGAATCCAGTTAAATACGGTAGAGTAGGATTTGGAGTAACGGATAGAGAGTCTGGATGAAAGATGTTTATAGAAAGTAGAGGCTGATGGACCCAATCCTCCTGCAGTTGTAAAAACTAGTGGTGTAAAAGAGGCATGCTCAACATTACAGATCCTTTCACCAT